ATACTTTACTTTATACTTTATGTTTTAGTCTTGAACTTTTTGAATTTACCATGTCCTGGATGACTGAGAATCTTCACCAGCTATTAATGACGCAATCAGCCTGCCACAGTCCCTTCACCTTCGTGCTGCTCGCTGCTTGGAGCAAGTCAAACCAGCTGTGCCGCCACGGCAAAATGCAGCTAATTTGACCATTAAAGTGCATTTATTAAGTAAAAGTTCAACCGAGACACAAATTTACAATAATTTCGAGCAAACGAATAATTATTTTTAAGTGTTAATCTTGTTAAATTCTTGTTAAAGTCCTCCTATGCATGCTCCCACGGCCGCCATTTGGCAGCCCATCGATTTTTGGCACAAGACCGGCCCACATTTCCGGGTTGTTAGCGGTGACACATAATACATGCGACGTATATGGCGAAGCGACATATTTAAGGATTTTTTCACTTTTTTAGACATATTTGGACTGATGCGACTTATAGGGCGGTGTGACGGGTACAGTGGAAAATACGGTATATGTTGTTCCTTTATTGCTAACCCTCCCCCAAACATTCACTTAGAAACAACTGAGGAAAACATAACGCAAGTAAAATGCTCCCAAAAGTGATGTGTAATGAGACTGGTGAATTTACTGGTAACTGCCTAAGCCTGTTCAGGATCCCAGGTATGTTCTCTGTGTTGTTGTTATTTCAGATTAAATGTCTGTTCTTGCACTTTGTGAAATCCATTTCAAAATAAATGCGATTTATACTCCGAAGCGACTTATAGTCCAGAAAATGCGGTACTCTGAGCACGACATCTCGCATGTTATTAGGCATAACCTTAATGTCAAGGTTTGACCAAAATGATAAAATAATCTCAACATAATATGATTTAAGTTTAAAACTCATTTACTTAATTTTAATGCATCATTGGCTCTTTCACAAGCATTTTCTATGATTGTGTGTGCACAGCAGCTGGTCCTGGACCTTACTCCGTTTATGGTTTTTACAAAAACACTTACAGCTTTGAGTATATCCACAGCATCCACACTGAGCCAGGATGCATAAACAATCTCTTCATTCAGGATGGACTCGAAGAGGTCGTCTTCATTTTCGGCCTCATAAGGGGCGTGTCCCGACAGCATCTCGTACAGCAGCACCCCGAGCGCCCACCAGTCGACGGAGGGGCCGTACAGCAGCTCCTGCAGGATCTGTGAAGACATCACAAAGTTCATACAGTACATACAGGTAACAGCAGCACACTTAAATTTAATACGTGCGCTTTAGCCAGTGGGTGTTTCCTACAGAGCTGCAAAGAAGCCTTTCATACACCTCGACTCTTAGTGAGTCCAGAGCAAACACGAGGACATTATCCCTCATTAAGAAAAACAAACGGGCGTCTAAATATTCATTCAGACGAGTGAATCCGACCTCAGGTAAACAGTGAAGTTTACAAGTCGACTCAGCACAAGCGTGCTGCCTTCCAGTCAGTCAGGAAGGAATTTTAAATGATGTGCGCCGACCACACTGTTTGGTTTAACTGAGGTGGCCTGATGGAGAAACTGTTCATGGACTAGTAGTAGCTCAAACGTCCAGGACTCCTACAAAATAAACTTGGTGGGATTTATTCTGAAAATAGAAACAATTCATAGTTGTAACACCTTTTGTTTCATATGACTAAAAAAAAAACATAGTTTAAGTTGTAGTGCTTTAATCTTAAAAACAAACTGTATAAATGTAACCAATAATCTGGTCAAATTTATTTTCTTTTGGTGGATTATCACAACTGTGTGAGTTAAAAACAGCTAAATCACTCTCAAAGTCACAATTAAGTCAACTTGATTCAAGATGGCCACCATAACTGAACTTGTTTTTAATTTTACAGATAATGACTTAATATTTTGTGTGGTAGTAGCTGAGCGTCATCCCCAACACGTACTCCAAACACCAACAGATTGCACAGGTCTTTGTTTAAAGCTTTGAAACATGAAGCATGTTTCAAAGGATAATTATCCTTCAGTGCAGGTGTTTGAACTAACCTCCGGAGCAATATAATCTGGGGTCCCACAGAACGTTCCTGTGGCCACACCTTCAAATATTCCCTCCTTGCACATCCCGAAATCTGCCAGCTTACAGTGGCCGTCTTTGTCGAGAAGAACATTGTCCAGTTTTAGGTCCCTGGAAGACAAAGCACAGAAGATGAGATCTTTAATCTGGCTCCTTCTCCAGAGAACACAACTTTAAAAACAATAAAACCCATCTGACAGTGTCAGCTGATAAATTTTATAGCTTTCAGTAGTCTCCATGTTGTTTTTAATAATATTAAGGTGGAAGTTTGTGATGCAACAAAAAAAACAAGTGCTTTAAAGACAGAGACGGACAATTCCCTGATCACAGAAGGGGCAAAGTCTGATTCAAGATGGCTGCCACAGCCAAGCAACCTCAGCAAACACAAAAATGGCTGTAACTCAGTCAGTTTGACAACATTTTGAGCTAAAATTTGGTGTGGTACAAGCTCAGACTCATCTTTAACTTAAACTCCGAGAGCGAACTGATCGCACAAGCTCCGTTTGTATTGAAGTAAAATCTGTTTGTATGTTAGCAAAATAACTCATGAGCTGCATGATGGATGTTAATGAAACTTTTAGGAAGTAAATGATGCAAATCTGCAACTGGTTAACCTTTGGCTTCAACCCAATTCAAGCTGCCCGCCACAGCTACCATATTTTTTGGACTATAAGGTGCACTTAAAATCCTTTAATTTTTTGAAAAATCAAGTGAGTTTTATAATCCGGTGCACCTTATGTATTAATTCTGGTTGTGCTTACTGACCTCAAACATATTTTATGTGGTTATTGTGAAAGAGTTGAATAAAGTTTGACTTATCTGTTTTGTTTCGCTTAATGCACCTTTTGTATGAAAACTGACCCGTTCATTGATATTGCACCTTATAATCCGGTGCGCCTTATAGTCTGAAAAATACGGTAATCAAAATTAACAAACACAACTGTAGTGAACTTAACCTGATGTCAAAACTAAGCCTAAGGTCAAAACCCTTGACCTTAAGAACCTTGTGGGACAGAAACTGTCATTTCATTGATTTGAATCCAGAAATACAGGTTCACCCATCCTGATAATACAGTCAAATGTACAAATACTGAGCTAAACTTTGGTGTGGTAGTAGCTGAGCGTTACTCTCAACACAGTTCAAGCTCTAATATATCTTGCACCATTGTATCAGATCACACTTTGTACATTATTTAACCAAAATTGCTACAACTGTAATTTCTCATCATGAAAATATCTCTGCCATATAAATCTGGCGGTGTGCATTCCTTCAAGGGTGCCAGGCCTTTAATCATTTACTTGTAAAAAAATTATATTAAAGTAAATCAAATGCTCGCTATGAGACAAAGAAAATGACAAAACAATTCATAATCAGTTTATTTTGAGTTTTTTTATTATGTTCCTCCACATGATCTATTGTTTAGGTGTCTCCGGTTGAATGTGTTTGGATCATTTAAATAAAAAATGACAACAGCTCTTTACAGAAACCTTTATAGACCTTTTTATTTTTATTTTTTTACAACTACCGTGAATGATATTAATCTTTGTACGTACTACAATGCTTTTAAAAATAGGAAACGATCAACTTTGACAGTTGTTTGTGTCAGAACTCCCACAACCGGTTTAATCTTGGTGACACATTAATTAAATTAACTCCCGCAGGAGGAGTGAAAGTATTTTACCAGTTCATAACACGAGTAAACAAAACAAAGGCAGAAAAGTTTAGTTCCTGTTGTTGGCTGTGCGCGCTGAAGCCTCCAAATAGAAACAGTGTCAAAAAAATCTGCTGCTGTGTGTTCGTGTCATCTGACCCGGAGCTTAAACCTGCTGAGTGAGGGGCCTTGGCTTAAACTCTAATCTGTGATCAGGTGATCTAAATTCATGCAAAGGTCCCGACAGTGATGACCTGAAGCAAGGCAGTAAAACACAGGCTGATGCCCGTGAAATAACAGATTTGAACTTTTAAGAAATTATTTATTAAATGTCCTGTTTCATTCTGAATAAAAACAAACCGACTGAGTCATTTCCATGATAGAAGGAGAAAAGTCAGACAGGCTGACTGCTGATTAAGCACTGGTTTGGTTGGATTAATCTGGTTTGCTTTACCCTACTTAAGGCTGACTGAGCAACACTAATATTACTGAATGTATCCAGCAAAATATATTCTGCAAATAAGCTTAAATATATTATTGAACAGCATTATAGGCAGGGTTTGAACCTTTTGGACACCAGGGTATGAAGAGCAAACAGAAGGAGCTGATGAGGAGAAGACTCTGCGTAACTGGCTACTAAAAAAACACGAGTATGAACATTTCCACAGAGAAGAAGAGGAAGTGCAGAGAAATGCTCTGACGCACAAACTAAAAGATTTCATCTTTTCACATCGGTACATCTGGACCAGCTGCCAGTTTTTTCTGAACTCTAACCACATCAGCTTGTCACTATAACAAGTTTTAATTGTGTTTGTTTAAATGAAACCTGCAGAAAATAATGATTAGAAATGTGTCTACAACAGATTAACATTTGGAGTTGTCTTAATTCAAGATGGCTGCCACAGCCAAATGACCTTAGAAAACACGAGAACAGCCATAACTGAGACAATTTGACAGATATTCTGTGTGATAGTAGCTGAGAACCATCCACAACACATGCTCGGAGCATGAGAAATCGTCATATTGCGTGACATTGCACATACCGTACTTGCCGCCGTACACGTCGCAACGCAGTATAAGTCGCATCAGTCCAAATATGTTTAATAAAGTGGAAAAAATATAAATAAGTCGCTTTGCCGTATACGTCGCATCTACTAGGCGTCAACGCTGACCACCCAGAAATGTGGGTCGGTGTTGTGCCAAAAATCGATTGGCTGCCAAATGGCAGCCGCGGAGGTGTGCACGGGAGAACTTTAACAAGAATTTAACAAGATAACCACCTAAAAACAATTATTTGTTTGCTCAACATTATAGTAAAGGTGTGTCTCAGTTGAACTTTTACTTCATAAATGCACTTTAATGAACAAATCAGCTGCTTTTCACCTGGGTGGCGAAATGCAGCTGATTTGACGTTTGCTCCAAGAGTTCCAGAGCGAGACAAAGGTGACTTTGTATGGCAAGCCAAGTGCCTCATTAATAGCCACTTTTACCTATTAATGAGACACTTGGCTTGCCATATCACTTGAACGCCCTCTAGTGGCTGCAAATGGTACTGTTTAATATTTTTCATGTCAGAATGAATGAAATCATCAGATCTCAGCCAAAAATTGGGTTATTAATATGGGGGAAACACGTATATTAGCCGCTTTGATGTATAAGTCGCAGGGTGTGCTAATTTATGCAAAAAGGTGCGATTTATACAGCGAAAAACACGGTAATGTTATTTTTCAAGGTTTGACCTACTACACCATCATTTCTTGCCATAATTCGGCCTCAGTCTAAAGCTGCGGCATGAAAAGCAGCGGGCGATATGCACTCCTCCAATGAATGCTAGATTTTAAATAAAAGTTTCCATCCTTAAATCATTAGTTGTCTGTAAAGATGAAGGATGTACCACCACATAACACCTCCCTGGAAAGATCTTGTCAGGTTTTATTGAAAACTTCTAAAACAATACATTTCCTGTCTATCTTTGATCAGTCAGCTCCACTAACTAAAAGCAATAATTATTAGTAAGTTCAGTTAAAAAAACAAGGGCAGAGCACAACCAACACAGTAACTGTGGCTTCAACTCAATGTTAACATGGAAGCATTAGCTTCGTTATGTGCACAATGCAGTTTGGGCTCACTTATCTGCAGCGATGTGGCGTACAAGGTGTTGGCAGACTGTCACAGGACACACAAACTAAATATAACTCAGAAGTTACTGTTCGCTCACATGATGGTCCCTCTCCTTATAATCACACACGGGCAGGAAGCCCACTGCTCTGCCATCCGAACACACTTAAAAAAAAAGTCTCAAACTGGAGTAAATGCTAACTTATCTGAGAACGTGATAACAAGAACATTAGAACAGACTCAAAACAAAGATACTGATATTGTTATAATAGATTTGCAGTGGCCATTTTTAAATCAGTAGTTGTGCAAAGGCTTTATCTCTGTAACACAATCCAGTGTCGTTTTTAGAGCTTTTGAATTTTGAACTTGACAAGAAAAGTATGATTTGCTTTGGATTAATGTGACAGAACAATCTTTTCCTGGTTATCTTACAACATCTGAGTTGAGTTAAAGTTCAAACTTGGCAGGAATTTCTTTCTTTTCAAAACTGTTGCTACAACGTTTCTGCTCTCTGAGTCACTGTCCTGTTCCCTGATCTCATCACGGTTAAATGATACATCCATCACTACGGATTGGGTTTTAACATCTATTCCCTCCTAAATGATAGAAAAACATCCATTTCTTGGGAGTCATTGGAGGTGAACCTCAAACCATGATGCTCCCTCCACCATGCTTAGGAGGAGATTTTAGCTCTTTTTGTTAAAAAGTATTTCCTTATCAATCAAAAGAACAACATTCAAGAAGCGTTTTGGTGTTTAGCTGGTCTCTTTGAAACGGTTTTTGATTCTTGCTCTTAACTTGACCTTTGAAGGACAAGCAGCTTAACTCGGAGTGGAAACGCGTCTGAATCCCGCCCGTCAGTCAAAGGTTAGTTGCGGACTGATGAACAATCGGTGGTTTAGAAATGCGTCCATGGCCTTTTCCAGCTTTGCGTAACTCTGTAAAGCTTCGTCTCCGGTCCGGTGAACGTTGCGAGCACGGTTAAGTTCATACAAACCAAACAAGAGCAGACTGGCAGGAACCAGACTTTACACTCGCGTGTTCTCGCATTCCAGTCTTTAGCAGGAACACCCGACTCCCAGAGGGTTTTGAAGAAGCCCATCCAGGATTTGATTCTAACAGTTTTCAGCAGAACTGTTATCTAGATGAAGCTCAAATCATATTTAAAAGTCAGTGAAGCTTTTACATAAAAACCTAACTTCTCACCAGTGATTCTGATACTTTCAATGGTAATTTAAAAAAAAATATGTCATTCAGAATCTCTTCCACAATTGCCCTAAAATATGAGTGGTTTTCTTTCTCACCCGTCTGGACCTGATGCAACATATTGCAGTTCCCATGGCTAGAGGGCGCCTTGAGTCCAAACGAGAAGAAACATTTGCTTCAAATGTTTGTTTAACATCTGTACGCGTGTGATCCGTATCTGTTCAAACCTGTAAATGATGCCTTTGCTGTGCAGGAACATAAGAGCCGAAGTGATCTCTGCCGTGTAGAAACGCGCTCTGGCCTCTTCGAATTTCCTGGATTTCTGGATGTGGAACATGAGATCGCCTCCATTAACGAACTCCATCACGAAGAAGAGTCGATCCTGCCACATAAATCAAGAGCCAATGTCAATTTTATTTCTAAAGCACGTTAAAAAAACAACAACAAGGTCGACTAAAGTATTTTACATGTTGGTTAAAAACAAACAGGATAAACTATCAGAATAAGAGCACACACGCAATACCCATCAAATTAAGCAAAAAGTTTAAAAATAAAGTAAAACAAGGAAACAACGCATTAAGATCGTAAACTTGAATTAAAAGCAAGTGTAAAAAAGTGCGCTTTAGATGGGATTCAGTAAAAGTATCCTGACGTCAGTGCAGTGAGGTGTAAGCCTGCCGACACTGGAGGGATGTGGTCTCGCCTCCTAGAACCTGCTAAAGATGCACAGCAGCGATCTGGACCAACTGCTGGCGATGAAGAGGAGTGATAAAAAATACTTTGTGCAACTTTGGATACTTGTTTCTCAAGTTTAAAAGGAACCAACTAAAAAGTCCAAGAGCCTTGACAGTGGAGGAACAACGAGGAGCGAGAGGGCCTCGGATACCAGTTAACTCCTTCAAAAGGGGTGCGGTCTCCATTTCAGTCCAGTTTCATTCAAGGTCAAACCGTTCTGTGTTGACCGGTGTTTAACGTCTTGTAGGCAGAGGCTGCAGTGGAGCAGAGATGTCATCAGTGTAACAATGAAAGGATATTGCACTTTCTAAATTCATCTCACAGGCAGCATGGGCTGAGGAGGAGGAGGAGGTTTCCCTCGTGGATACAGGGGAACACAACAGGATGCACAACAGAACCAGTGAACAAAGTGAGACTGCTTCATTGCTTCTTCTATGTTTTGCGTTTGTCGAAACACTTTCCACACAAGTGGATGCACAGACGGGATGAATCCAGCCCACAAATCCTTCCCTCTCATTGCAGCCTACACACTCTGTTATATGCGTGATCTTTTATAATGATCTCATGATCTGTGGTCTTGCAGTACAACTATTTCAGACTTTAAAATAAAAGCTTCTTGGTTGCACATTTCCAATTAAAAGCACCGGCAGATGGCATTTGCTACGTTTGTTGTTTAATTTGTACCAAGACTTTCTCAAAGCATCCTGAAACTTTATTTAAAAAAATAGTAGACTGTGATAAAATAAAAACTGTTGATTCAGATAAAACCTCTGGGAAAGAAGTGAGTTTAAGAAAATAGCATCTGCCCCCCCAAAAAAAAACAGCACAGACAAAACAACAAGTCCCCACTCATTTCCTCAACTCGTCTTTTCATACCAACAAACATACACACGTAACTCTAACACTTAAAACCACAGATGATTTCACACCTTTGCTGCATGAGGACACAAGAAAACCATTGTGCCAACGCTCTTGTCGATTACCAGCAAACAGTTGATGAGAAGAGACGTTTAAAACAAATTCATCAAGGAGGTCTTTTTTTTTCTGCAGTTGTGTGTGCAGGTTTGAGTTGTTGAGAACTATCAAGTCAATTATTTCCGTTCATGTTTAAGTATCCTGATGCATGCTCAATAATCCAGAGGACCTGACTTAACTTTTTTTTGAGATTTAAGGTTTAAGATTCAGTTCAGGCAGATTAGGGGCTTCCTCCTTAAGGCAGGTTTAACCATAGTCCATCTTTTTTTTGGCACTGCCCTCTCACATGCAGGTTTTGGAAGGAGTTTAGCAGGTTTATTAATAACCGTATTTTAAGGGATTTTTCGTTACGTTGGGAAAAAGTTTTTTGTTTTTCTAGATTCCCCCAGAAAGGATGCTAAAAGTTTTGTTTTTTTTATAATAAACGTGCCAATTCTTTTGGCCAAATTTTACATCCATAAATGTAAATTTATTAACAAAACGTCATGTTTTCTTCATTTTATTAAGGATGTGGAACTATATGTTAAATTAATAACAGACTCTACCAAGACAAAGGCCCTTAGGACAATTTCTATCTGTAAATCTTTGCAAATATTTGTCTAATTAACACCCCTAGTTGTTTGTTCATGTAAGTGTCGTGTTCTTCTGTATACGACATTCGTTTGTTTGTTGTATACTTGCCATTTGATTAAATAAAGATTAAAAACAACAACAACAACAACAAAAAAACAGTCTCTCAGATAAAGGCTGGGGAACTGTTGCCACCTGCTGGACATCTGAGGAAGTACAACCTGAAAGATGATTTTCCATTGACTACTCAGCTGCATACTGTGGTACAAAACTTTATTACAATGCATTAATTTAATTATAATTAAGTATCTTTAAATTCATGAAAATTAACAACTATAGAATGATTACTGCAAAAAATTAGTTTACGACAGGTTTCTAGGTGTGGGTGTGTGTGTGTGTGGGGGGGGGGGGGGGCAGCCTAACCTTCCTGGATACAGTGAAGAAGCACCTGGACTCCTGCAACTCATATGTGCGGCTTTTATTTATGGATTTTTCATCTGCCTTCATTACAGTAAACACAAGTACTCCTCTTCATCACCTTCAAGCGCAGCAAATCAACATTTGGTTTTATGGATTAAGGATTTTTTAACAACCAGGCCCAGACATGTCAAGATCAATGGTTTGAAATCAAGCAGCATTGGTTTGAATACTGGGGTCCCACAAGGCTGTGTTTTGTCACCAATTCTCTTCCATCTACACCAAATAACCTGCAACAAAAATGGACTGGCATTCTTTATGCATGCAGACGACATGTTTGTTGAACGCTCACTGACAGGCACTACAGTGAGTCTGACACTACACTACAGGCAATTTGTGGACACCGTGGTCATCTGGTTCAGAGAGAGCTCATTAAAACTCAATATTTCTCAAACTAGGGAGCTGTGCCGCGGGGGTCACCGTGTATCTACAATCTGAGATCGACTACCACCTGTCCTTCACACAACATGCAGAGGGGGTATACAAAAAAACATAACAGTGCACGTTTCTCCTGAAAAGGCTAAAAGGTTTCAAGGTCAAACGGGACATTTTAACTAGTGTACCGATCACTCACTGAGCCAGTCCTTACATTCAAGATCTCGTCATGGTGCAACTTCCTTACAGGAAAGAACAAGAAAACACTCACCAGAATTATCAATAAACTTACCAGTATACCTCCAGTGCATCTAACAGAATTTTACAGTCGTGCAGTGCAAAGGAAAGAGAGCTGTATCACCAAGGACCCTTCACCAGTCATTGCAACTCCTACCTTCAGGTAACTGTTTTAGAGTTCCCCATGCCAAGAAAAAAACTTATAAAAACTCTTATTTCCACTTCAATCAGCCAAATAAAGGAAAATATTTGTCGACTTGCAGATGACATATGGTCTAATGTGGTTGTGGGTTTATAGGTATCTTATGATGGTATGTATAGGGTAAGGGGTTTGGGATTTTATATGTGATATATTTCTGTATTATTATGTGTTCTGTTGTGTTTTAATGTGTCTGAGCTAGTGATGGGAAAATGAAGCTTTTATGAAGCAAAGAACCATTAGGGACAAAGGTTTCAAAAATGTCTTCATTTTTTTTTTTTTGAAGCTTCAGTTACAGCGACCTCTCCTGGCCGCCTGCAGTACTGCAGTTACACCAGGCGATCAGATCTGATTTGATTGCACGCACCCAAATAATAATAACAATAGTGTCCTCACAATGTCAGCACTGTACGTTTCCATACAATGGCGAAATTAGTCTCTGCATTTAACCCATCCACCACCAGGTGGTGCAGTGGGCAGCTATTGAAGGCACCAGGGGGCATTTTGGGGATGAAGTGTGCTGCCCAGAGACACCACGTGATATGCAGTGACTGGGGATTGAACCAGAGACTTTCGGGTCCCAAGCCGGCTGCCCTGCCTCTACATCATCTCGGTGTATCAAATAACTTTAATGAAACGTCTTAAAGAAGCTACTTTACTCTGGTCGAAAACAGTTTAAGTTATGTAGCAACTTTCTATGAGCTCACTTGGACTATTTGGTTTTAAAAGTTCATGTTACACATTCTATGTGCAAATAAAGATTGAATATGCATCGTTATAGAGGATGTCTAATCCAAATTGGCATGGTATTGGCGTGCTTGTGTTACTACGACAGAGTCGGGGTCTTTCTCATTGTTAGAAATAATGAAATGACAACGAGAAATCCAGAGTCCCTGTGGAAAACAGTGCAAAGACTGGGAACGATCAAAGATTTATTGAGGAACATCAGTTTTTCAACAGTTTTAAGACTTAGACGGTTTCTTTTTTTTTTTTTCACAATCTCTCCACATTTGGAAAATACTTGCTTGTAAGGGACATATGATGCTGGCATGCATAAAACATATTTCACCAGTGTGAACAGATGTGGGTACACAGGTTGATGGGTCAGACAGTGTGTTCTGATCCAGTGATTTTCAAAATGGGGGCTGCCAGGGGGACCCCAGAAAGCGGGAGAAAAGACAAAAAAAAAGGGGCAAAAATTAAAAATTTGTAATAATAATAATAAAAACTGTCCACTGGGGCAATCTGTATCTGTCATTTCCAGATAAACACGCTTCAAAAGATGTTAGATTTCTTTTGTTTTGATCTTCTGGTCAACAGTTTGTTGAAAAGTAGTTGTTTTTTTCAGTGGGAATATAATTCAGTGTTTAAAACATGTTAGTTAATAACATTTTTATGCTCATCAGCTGTAATAAGTAATTGAATATGGTGAATAAATGTTAAAACATTCTAAAAGTTGATGTTTCTTTACATATTTTGTAGCATTGTTTGTGGGTTTGCGAGGGGTGGGCTCGGCCCGAAGCTAATGCTGTTTGGGGGGCCATGGCATGGAAAAGTTTGGGAACCCCAGTTCTGATCAGCGGTGGATCCGTCACGTCATGTCAAAATAAAATTTGAGCCTTATGATTACAAAAATCATATACATCATTTTACTGTAATGCTAATGAATTTAGGGTTGGGCTATACGATATCTTTACTGCTGAACTTTACTGTTTTTATTTTTTTACATATTGAAATGCCAGAAGCACCTTATCATGAGCGAGCAGAATGAAGTGTTCCCACATGTTTGAACAACTTTTCTTCCTGGCTCCATAATGATACAATCTCAACAACACAAGAGCAAAAACACACCTACTGTCCCAACACATTGCACACTTCACAAGACGAGGCGCCGGGGGATCGGCTGATTGGACCACGAACCAGTCAAGTGATTCATTCCGACAACGAAACAGTTTGTGTTTCAGACGTCACGTGACTTCTTCCACACCAAAGCAGGCTCCGACGCAGTGTTCTGATGTAATTGTATTTCAGGGTTCGAAACAAGTATTGAAGCTTTTGCTTCATACTGCCATCACTAGTCTGAGCCTCTACTAAAGAACCAATAACAATTTTCTGTTGCATTGTGTGACAGACAATAACGTGTTTTGAATCTTGAATTTTGTCTGTTAGCAAAGTGTTTTATAATCTGCTGCGTGTTGAAGTCTGCACAGTTTAACATGGCTGCCACAGCTAATCAACACAAAAATGCCCACAACTCATTCAAATGTACAAATACTGAGCCAAAGTTTGACGTGGTAGTAGCTGAGAGTGATCCTCAACACACACTTTGAGCTCTAAAAGATTAGACTGTGTAATGTTTAGTCTCATGTAGAACTTGTTTACTGATTTTTTATTAAACGCTTTGTGTGAAAAATGCTCTGCTAAAGAGCTCAAACCACACAGAGCGTCCACCATTTTGAGAACCGAATAAAGGAAGGAGAGACAGCCCATGTCACGTTCAGGGGCCTCCCTTTCATTTGTCTTAAAGAGACACGCTGCTCACTCCCTCACTATCCATCCTTCGGTTCAAACTGTCTTATACTGCCATCTGGTGGTACTACATGCAAGACAAATTAACCAACATGTCTTCTTAAATTTGACAATAATTACTAATTATTGTCAAATTTCAAACAATATTATCGTTTATCGCAATAATTTCTGAGACAATTAATCGCCCAGCAAAATGTTATCGTGACAGGCCTAGTCTCATGCGACGCCTCTGAAATGCACTGGCTGACTGTGTATAAGTGTGTTGCACTGACCGGAGTCTGGAAGCAGCAGTAAAGCTGTGTGAGGTAGGGGTGACAGCAGGCCAGCGAGAGAACCCGCTTCTCCGTCATGGTGCACTCAACGTCGTCGTCCTGCAGAATAATGTCCTTCTTCAAAACCTTGATTGCAAAAACGCAATCTCGTTCGTTTAGTTTGGCCAACATCACCTGCTGACACAACAACACACAGTTAGAAAAATGGAGCAGGAAAAAGTACACGTCTTTTAGTTTTTCACTTTGATTAGTAACTTTAATTAAGTTGATGACACTTGAACAATGATCCTGGTGTTTTAAAAGACAATTAAAGGAGTAACGGTGGATTATACGTCTGCAACACACGTCCGGTGGATCCTATGCAGCCATGTGCAGTTGTTGGTGAGTGATGGACACGTCCATATTTAGTTAAGGCTGTTTTTGACGTCAGTGAGCATTTAGAGTCTAGCTGAATTCCTCCAATGAATAAATATATTTGGAAATTTGTAGCTCGGCATGATGCCCCTTGCACTTTTTGTGCAACTTGGGTCAAATCTGGTAACTATATCATATTGTCATATTTACAGCAACTACGTTTCCAAAAACTAAAAAGGTTTCAACATGACAATCAAATATTTTATATTACCCTCCACCAGACCCATTCTGCTTTTCTTCCATAACTGTAATCATTACTGAGCACTTTCCTTCCTAATTATTCCCACCTTGCCAAAGCTGCCTTTTCCAAGCACTTGCAGAAATGTGAAGTCTGAAATTCCCATCCGAAGGGACTGCTGCAGAGTTTCTGAAGCCGTGCTCTCCCTCCTGTCAGAGGGCATCCTGCTCGGCTCTGAACCTTTGACCTGCAGAAACCAAACAAAAATAAGATCCATGCATTTACACAGGCATTGCTTAACTCCTTTAAAAAAACAGAAGTTTTTTTTTTTTACAATTGTGTTTCTTTTAGAGAGTCCTCCAGCCTGCAGACCCATCTCGGCGAGCTTGTTGGCCAGTTCCACACTGTTGACACCGCAGCTGGGAGCAACGTTGCCTTTACAGCGGATGTGAACGTTCATTTTACAAACTGATAGAAAAAAAAGATAAACAGTCAATAATCGATTTACTTGAGATCTTGGTTTCAAAACAAGTTTTGGCATGGTTCTTACTTTTGCAGTGCAGCCCCTGTCGGACTATCCCCCACAGCAGGGACCCACAGTGGTCACAGAAGGTGGGCGACTTGTAGTTGTGGATGTTGAACTTGTGAGGAACGTTGATGCTGAAGCCTTGAGTTACAGGCTGAAAGAGACAACATATGAAGCTGGAAACAAACCAGTATGTTCAGTGATGCATTCAATGACAAGTGTTTAAAGTAGGACTTTATTTTTGTTGAGGTTGCTCGGAACTTTCCAAAGGAAGAGGAACTTGTGCTGTTCAGCACAAAACAAAATGAAACGGAGCAAAACTGTGAATGCAAACCGAGGACAGATGGATGTATTTATAGCGAGCTGAACATGCATGAGACACACACACGTGACACGGTTATTGTGAGTCGACCACTGGTTCAGTGGTTGACTCCCTCAGAAACAGGAAGCCTGCAGTGATGAGACTCCTGATCACTGCAGGTGTTAATTATGAGTGGGTGAATGTGTGTGGAGGGGGGGGGGCTGCTATTTCTAAACATCCTAAACAGTAAAACAAAGAAATTTATTGAAACGAGGAACAAAAAAAACAGAAAAGGCCAAAATATTTATATTAAGAAGTGATTGTTAATTCTGCACTCACATTACTGTATTGTTTTCCAGTTGGATGTTTTTTGCAAACCATTTGCGCATAATTTGTTTTTAGCCATTTATCAAAACTTTCCGTTAATACAGGAGATGGATACAATGACTTTTTTAGACAATCTACTTTTTTTTAAACTTTATTTACAATTTTTTTTTTCCCACAGAAATATATTAATATCTTTTTAAATTACCTCAAAAACTCTTTTCATCTGCTTCAGCATTCTTACTATATACACTGTCTTCTTATAATATTCTTAAATTTTAGACACCCGTTGCTACTTTTAGCTACTCTTTTATTACCCAAGCTCTGAGCGTGCTTTTTGCTATAGGTAAGTAACGCTTTGGTACTTATAACTTTTGGCAGGCCTTTTGCTATTTTTGGCAAGTCTTTTGCAGTTATTGCCTTTGTTATTTTTAGCTAGACCTTTGCTAATATTAGCTAGCCTTTTCTTACTTTTAGCTAGCTTTTAGCTGCTTTTAGTTTTTAGCCACCCTTTGCTACTTTTAGCTAGTTTTATGCTACTGACAGCTAATGTTTTTGTAATTTCAAGTCCAAGTTCAAGGTTCTTTATTGTCATTCGCCTCACATGTGGTACATGAGGTGGAACGATATTGTGTACACAATTTGTTTTTGCTGTTTTTGGTTAGCATATATTAGCTGTATTTTGCTTTTAGCTTTATTTTTGCTTATTTAGCTAGTTTTTTGTGCCCATTAGCCTTCGGCTAGTACGCTGTTTCTTTTAGCTTTGACAACTCAGTTTTAGCCTTTTCATCAAATTTCATCAAAGTTCTTCAGCATTCATCATTTGCTCACCATTTCTGCCCAAAATGTATTTTCTTTAGTTTTATCACTGATTTGATGACAAGAAAAAGACAAAGTGTATGCTGTTTTAATGGAGTTAGCTGCAGCTACCTGCTCTTTTGGGGACTTCTTCATCCGGGGACACACCGTAACAACCAGCTGGTGGCAACGTTTATGAACTACACAGGTACACACTAAAAAAAAAACATCAGAAATAAAACTTACTGTCACACCTTGTGAATGTACGATTAGGAGACAGCGACAAAAAGAAAAAGTTGCACACCTTGACACTGGTAACCCTGTTTTCCCAAAAAACCCCTGCAACAGAGATCGACTAAAACAATCAGATTTCATCCACAGACACAGGTTCAATCAGCAGTGAGTCAATTTGTTTGACTTTCTCACCAAATGAACTCCTTGCAGTGGAAGCAGAAGGTGGGCTGACGGAGGTACGTGGACATGAACTTGTGTCCGTTGACCTGATGGATCCTCCGTCTCACGGCCCCCTGCCGCGTCCTGGTGAACTGCTTGTGGGTGTTCTCTTTCAATACAGCGTCGTCTGGTGATGAGGAAAGGTTGGGATCAAACAACAGATATAAACGTAAGATTTAATCAGTGTGAAGTGGCTTTAAGTCGTCTTTTGATACTTGTGTGTGAAAAGGGCGACATAGAGGAACGAAATCACAAACATTTATCGTCCAACATACCAGTTCTGTTTTGCTTTAGATTAAAATTATCACTGTGCATGAGACTCCAGGGCTGAACTATAAACGTTAAACAATGAAAGAACAAATACTGATGAAATACGGTAGTTATAAAATGGCGAGTGTTTTATCAGGAAGGGCATCCGATGTAAAACACTTTTGCCAAAACCAACATGTGAGCTCATCTAAGTGACACCATACCGGATCGGTCGAGACCCGGGTTAACGTCGACCGCCACCAGTGCTGTTGATAAACAGGGTGCCGGTAGAATTGTGCTACTGTTAGATTGAAGACTTTGAGGAGTGAAGCATGTCAAGAGACAGAGGGACAAGAGGAAAGTCAAGAATGTAGGACTGAGGGTTGTAACTCTAAATCTGGGGACAATGACAAGCAAACGTAAAGAGCTGGCTGACATGAAGCAGAGAAGGAAGGTAGATATTTTATGTGTCCAAGAGACCAAGTGGAAGGGCAGCAAGGCTCGCAGCATTGGGTCAGGGTTTAAAGTTTTACCATGGTGTGGATAGAAAGAGAAATGGAGTAAAGGTGGGCCTGAAGGAGGAGTTGGCAAAGAATGTAGTAGAGGTGAAAAGAGTGTCAGATAGGGCGATGTGCCTGAAGGTAGAAGTAACAGGTCTGATGCTAAATGTTGTCAGTGGTTATGCTCCACAGGTTGGATAGAGGAGAAAGAGAAAGTGTGGAAGGATCTGGATGAAGTGATAGAGAGTATTCCCAGGGAGGAGAGAGCGGTGATTAGAGCAGACCTGAATGGACATGTTGGTGAAGGAAACAGAGGAGATGAGGAAGTGATGGGCAGGTTTGGTGTCAAGGAAAGAAACCAGGAAGGACAGAGGGTGGTGGATTTTGCTAAGAGAATGGAAATGGCTGTTGTCAACACTTGTTTCCAAAAGAGGGAGGAACATAGTGACCGATAATAGTGGAGGAAGGAGTAAGTAGGTCGACTACATTCTCTGTTGAAGAGGAAACGTGAGGGAGATTGGAGACCGTAAGGTTGTTGCAGAGTGTGGCCAGACAGCATTGGATGGTTGTGTGTAGAAAGACTGTTGTTGTGAAGAAGAGAATAAGAGTAAAATCAGAGAAGAAGACCAAATAGTGGAAGCTGAAGAAGAAAGAAAGCTGTTAAAGGCTCTGGGTGGAAGAAAGAGCTTCCAGATGACTGGACTACTACAGTAACAGTAATTAAAGAGAAAGGTAGGAAGGTACTTGGTGTCTCATCTGGACAGAGAATGGATGATAAAGAAAACCTGGTGGTGGAATAGTGAAGTGCAGGAAGATCTTCAAAGAAAGAGGTTAGCCAAGAAGAAATATGACAGTGAGAGGACTGAAGAGAGGAGACAGGAATATAAGGAGATGCGAGATGTTGAGGTTCTCCTTAGTAGTGACAAGGATGGATAAGATTAGGAATGAGATCATCAGAGGTACAGCACAGGTTGAACAACTGAGAGATAAAGTTAGAGAGGCCAGACTGAGATGGTTTGGACATGTCCAGAGGAGGGACAGTGGGTATACTGGTAGAAGGATGTTAGAGATGCAGCTGCCAGGAAAAAGACAAAGAGGAGATGCAGTTAGAGAGGACATGGAGGTAGTTGGAGTAAGAACAGAGGATGCAGAGGACAGAGTGATGGAGGAGGATGACTCGCTGTGAGACCCCCTGAAGAGGGAAAATCCAGAAATAAAAAGAAGCTTTAGAAATAAACAGGTTTATATGACAACTGTGCAGGTGAGTGACCACACATAATGTGTTCAGGTTATTGGTTTAAATTTTTGCTTAATGAATGACTTTAAAACACAGTGTTACATTAACCACGAAGCATAAGTCAGTTTTTCCATGTCTAATGTAATGTCCCAACACTCCCTGTTTGACTTTGAAACGTTTCAGTACTTCATCACTGTAAAATATAATTCAATCAAGTCGTCTCACTCATTCAGCAGAAGGAAAACTAATGAAATCACAGACAGAAATGTAAGCACAGTTTGAGCCTTCTGCACAAATCGATGTAAAACATTTGCTTCACAAACACCACGTGGGCTTCAGAGCCAGTATAGTGTAGCTACATGAGCGACACAAACCACACGTGCGTTACGGAAACCTTCGAGCCCACGCTCTGTCCCTGTGGCTGCTTTTAACAAAAGAAAAGGGGGAGTTAAAGGTTCCACACACTAGTATACACTTCTCTACCTTAAATGACGTAAAAGATGCTTCAAACATTTATGTAACAAAACAAAAAAAGATTTGAAGAGTTTACATCCCCTTGATGTATATTAAAATGTAATGTATCAAACCCTTCCATAATAAAAACACTCAATGACGTTAACGTTTGGGGGTAGTACAATAAACTAACTTATTTTTTTTATTATTTTAACACTTTTTTGTACTGTAAGTGCCTGTTGTCAAACTCTACTTCATTTCCTTTTGTATAGGCTTGCCTATGATACCAAACAAAATAATTTAATGTCCCCTACCAATTTTATTTTCTGTCTCTACTTCTGGGAGATGTATAGTCTGGTTTAGAACAATTTTTAAAAGCATTCAATGTTTGTTTCTTGTAATGAAGCCTAACCTTGACCCTCACAAGTCTTGAACCAGGACTTAGGATTGGAGTTAGTTTAGTTGAACATTCAAGCGTTTGGTTTAAACAAGGTCAAACCTGAAGGCAACAGACAGGAAGCACCTCTGCTTAGTAAGCATGAGATAATAACTCGGAAAAATGATGCAAATGATTATCAGCATGTCGACCAAACTTTTCTCTTACCAGACCTGCAAGTCAACTTCCCCCCCCAGATTATTTACTTTGTCGTATTAATCTGTCAAAATGAGGAAGCTTTAATTCATCGCAACAAGCTGGCTTGATGAAGTGCACCTAACACTTAAAAAGCAATTACACAACCGCACAACAAGCACCAATTATCAGACAAATGCAATAAGTGCTCAGAACAAACAGGAAAATGTTTTTAAAGATAACAAAGACAGGACTGACTGGGTCGCTCCGGTTTTCTCTGAGAGGTCAGAAACAGCAGAGAAGTGAGGAAATTTGAGGCCTTACCATCGGTGAAGGATCCGGTGAGAGTAATGAGGACGAAAACTTTCCCTTCTGGCTCCAAGTCCATCTGTAAAGAGCACAAAGTTATTTCTGAATCCTCACACCGACAACAGAAAGAAATGAAAGCCGAGTAATTCTTAAAGAAATGTAGACGTTTTGGTCAAAACACGTTTATTTGCAATTTCACACAAAATGCTATTCATAACATACTCTGAGTGTGAGTTGTGGACAACTCGGATACAAACGCCAAACTTGAGCACAGTATCTGTAGGCCTGTCACGATACCAAATTTTACTGAGCGATTAATTGTCTCAGAAATTATTGCGATAAACGATAATATTGTTTGAAATTTGACAATAATTAGTAATTATTATCAAATTTACAAAGAAATTTTGGCTAATTTGTTTTGAGTGTAGTACCTTTTTTGACCACCGGATGGCAGTGTAAGACTGTTTGAACCGAAGGATGGATAGTGAGGGAGCGAGGAGCGTGTCTCTTTAAGAAAAATGGGAGGGAGACCTCTTGACGTGACATGGGCTGTCCATAGTTGCCAAGTCCACTTATTATAAACAAATATAGGCTTGTTTTTTCCTAAAGTCACTTGTAAATCTTGTGAGTCGCGGGTTGCATTTTTTTGGGGCTTGTTTGAACATGAAGTTGCTTATTTGGGCTCGACTTTCTTTCCGAGTGAAACTAGTTGATTATCTCCCAGCTCCGCAAAATAAAGCAAAAGATGAGTGGTAGTAGGTAGTTTTGTCCCTTCCACGCCCCCATTTCCTGTTTATCGCTCCCGCCCAAGTTGAGTAGGACCTGGTTGCCCAAGTTGGCGAGGCGACAGGCGCACATATAGACATAAATAGACATATACAAATACGTCTGTAGGCGCGCACCCCAAACACTCATACTGTGGCCGACCACTAGGGGGCTCCACTCACACGCAGATGCAAGGATGTTTAGTTTGTAAAAATATGTAGAAGAAATTACATATGTAAAATGTATTGTTTTTATCAGAGCTTAAAAGCATGTTATTCAAAGTGTTTATCATAATTTAGCTGTTGTTTATGTGTAATGTCATAATAAATGTATGCTTATACTGTTTTAAAATGGCCTGTTTTACACAATGTGGTGGGTTGCCAGTTGAACTTGTTTTGGGCTTGTTTTCATAGAGCTGGTTGCTTGTTTCTATCGCGAGATCTGGCAACACTGGGGCATGATGCAAAACCGCGATTTTGGACGGTTAAAATGGATTTTACAGAGAAAGGGAAGGGTCCGTGAAGAGCACGGGAGTTGAGCCTTTTGTCATCCGGTGTTTTCAGTAGAAAAAGAGACAAGAAGAAATGATAAAGCAGATAAATAAAAATGAGGTCGATCATTTTCATTTATCACGCGATTAATTGATTTATTGTTTATCGCGACAGGCCTAAGTATCTGTACAAGTGACTTATTTCGAGTCATTTTTAAGGTTGATTAGCTGCTGCGGCCATCTTGAATAGAGCCGACTACAGTATGTAATCATGTGCAGGTGTTCACCCAGTGATAACTTTATGAAATCTTCATAAAAATCCATCCTTCATGAGACGTTTTGCTAACAGACACGAGTGAGATGGTGAGTGAATAAAATGAAACAACCAAAGATAAATATTTTTGGTTAGATGCCATTTGCTCCAGATTCAGAACAAGCAGCAGTGTTTCTGCATTTTTTCCATTCCTTTGCATTTGCGTCATGATGAAAGACTGTGAACGCGACAGAAACCCAGCTGAGCAGGTCTGACGGGTCGGGCGGTCGCATGAATAACATTCAAAGCGTTGCAGGGGACGAAGGTTTCGCTGAAGGTGGACACTGCCTGGCACACAGAGAGACTCTGCTTCCGGCTCAGACTACTGAGTGGAAACTTGGGCCGTCATCCTACGCTTAAACCAAGATCTATTTCTGTTAACATACGCTTCCTGGAAAAAACTGAAGCAGCAAAACAATGACACATGCAGAATGAAAACAGCGAAGGCAGACACTCGGAGCTTCTTTTTTTTTCAAGAAAAGGCCTCTTTCTCAGCCAGCTGCTCACATCCTGTGTCAGTTAAGCTGTCCATGGTGAGACGTCCTCTGTGCCGACACTGATGGGGGGGCAGCTGAGTTGCCAGGTTTGTCATATACAAGTACGCCCAGCCCTGAGTGATTAGAAGTCACATTCATTGTTTGTTCTACCCTCCAGTCTGCTCAACAAGTGAGGCCATAGTTCAGTCATAAAATCAGCAGCGTGCACATTTAGGACAACAAATAAAACAAATTGAGGAGATAAAATATCAAAGTGTCTGCTGCTGCAGGTCTGGGAGACAGAAAAGGCAGACTTGATCAGAAATAGGGCGCTCACTGCCGGGAAATTTCGCCCTGTATTTTAAAAAAGCAGAACATTTCACGCTTCATCGCAAAGAAGGAAGTCTTTAAATGATATTTAAACAGATGTACGAGAGTCTAAATGTCAGTAAATGTGGAACATGTTGAAGGGCTGCTTTCTCTTTCTTACCTTTGAGGTCTAAGAAGCCACTTCTTCTGTTCAGTTTCAAACATGAAGACTGAGCAGAGCAGAAAATTTATTTTAACTCATGCACATCACCCCAAGTTTAGACTAAAATCATCTTAGGTTTAGTTGGAGCCGTTTTGGACAAACCTCTGAAATTCTGCCATGTGTAATTTCATTCCAAGCTGTGTGATGTCACCTCAGAGTATGTGTTATCAATGACTCTCAGCTACTACCACACCGAATTCTAGCTCAGTATCTGTGAAGCTGACTGAATTTTTGCCATTTTTTTGGTTTTAAAAGGTCAGACGACTGTGGTAGCCATCTTGAATTGGGTTGTAGAGGGATGCATGATCTTTTCCTGGAGGCTTCATTAAAATCTGTCTAGCAGTTCATGCAGATAGAGGTAAACGTAAGCGAGGAAGATGAGCAGCTGGATAGCAGCCAACAGAAAACGAGCTATTTGGCAGCTACGATCAGCTCTGTGGGAAAAACTTTGATAAACAGCGGCGTGGGCGTGTGGAGGCCTGCGCCTCGTGTGCGCAAAGAACCAGCCCAGCGCTCGTTCTGCACGAGTAAGTTCAAAAAACCCTCGGTGGCTCAGATCGAGCCGATAACAGCCTTGAGCCTCAAAATGAGAACGACTGCAGACCAAGTTCCACTTTCACACCACTTCCTCACAAAGCTCAGGGTCTTGGTGTGCACAAAGCAATCTTAGGCGTTAATTCTTGCTTTTGCAGCTGTTAAGCTGTGACACAAGTTCATGCATTTACATTTTCTACATTAAATGATTCTGCAATTACTCCTAAAACAAAGAAAATAATGGTAGTTAACTGTTTTCGTCTTCTTTTCCAAATCTGCTGATGAAAACAGGTTTATAATAAAACTTAAACACGTTGATTTATTAAAGTATTTGTTTTTAATGCATGCTGGTTTGTTGGTTTTACACAACAAAAACTGCTAAATCCACACTGTGCATCGAAAAGAACCCGACAAGGAGGGGTTTTAAACGAGCAGACGGTCGTTTGGAGGCGAACGAGTGCACAAGCGTGAATCGTTTGTGTGATGACAGCTCGGTGGTGCACGGTGAGAAACCTGCTTCAGATCCAGGTCTGAACAGGTCCGGGTTACGTTCACCAACACCTGCTGAGGCTGAGACGACCCGGAGGAATGAAAGTAAGTTAAAAAAACAACAAAATTAAAAAAAAACGCAGGTTTGAAATGGGTGAAGTTTAATTTTAAAGTTTAAAAGTGGGACTAATGTGAGACTTTATGTTTTGGTCAGTTTCCACTCGCTCCCTTGTGTGCATTAAAAAAATAAATCATCATTTGCAACATCCACCTATCCATGTACCAGATTCTTTCTTTCCAGGTCATGGAGGTCACTGGTGTCCCTATCATTCACTGGACGAGAAGAGACCCTGGACAGGTCTCCAGTCCATCACAGGGACACATGGAGACAACCACTATAAGGACAATTTAGAGTTACCAGTCAGTCTAACATGCATGTTTTTGAACAGTGTAATTGCAATATTAACGTATTCTGTTTTTTTATATCTTTTTTTTTTTTACTATAACTACCTCTGCATACTTTGTGTTTTGTCAGCAATCAAAAAGTTCAGCTGTTGAAGCAGCTGTAAATATAAAAGAACTCTTACGTCTATCCTATTTCAGTCTTTTGCACATGTATTTAAATTTTAATTTAACACATCACTAAGAATGTTATAAAAAGCCTTAGATTAAAGTGGACAATAAATATCCGTACAAAATAAAATAGTAAAATAATAATAATAAGAAGAAACTTTAATTAAATAAGGTTATTTGTTCTTTTATTTGTCAACTTCTGGTTTGTGATTCCCCGGCTTAAAAGGGGCGGGGCTTCAGAGTGGCGTTGAGAGCCTGCACCTCTTTATTTACTTTTAGCTGCTTTTGTGGCTAATATTAGCTATAATTTTCCTTTTTCCAGCTAATAGCTAATTTCAGCAGTTATTCAACGCAGCCTTCATTCTGTATTTTCACAGAAACTGGACTTTCTCTGGTTGTGATGAACCTTATACGGCCGAAAACATCCTTAGGTGTAATTATAACGGCGGCGCAGGTTGTGTGGCAGTGGACGCTGAGCGTTTGTGTTTGTGCACTTTGCCAAGATTAGAATTAACTGCACGATCGCCCTGCATGGTTTCACACTGGGCGGCACGGAGGAGCAGTGGTTACAGCTGTTATATATATATAAAGTTACTGGTAACTCTAAATAGTCACTAAGTGCGAGCGAAGGCTTTGATGGTTGTTTATCTTGTTTGGTCCTGTGATGGACTCGAGACCAGTCCTGGGTGGCCCCTGCTTCTCACACATTGACTGCAGGAGATAGACGTCTGCTCCCCATGACCCAGAAAGGGGAAGTGGATAAAGAAAATGATTTTATGAAGCATTTGGTGAGTACAGACGGTGCAGCTGAAGAACTGTCCTTCACAGAGTCTGGGCTCTGATGGTAAACCCTAAATGAGCTCTGAGGTCAGGACAAATAAGGGAGGTCCAACTGTGACCAGTTTACTGAACTATTAAAGCAATTTCCATTAACTCACAGCAGAAAATAAAAGTTGGATTAAATTAAAGTCCTGTTTTCCACCACTTCTTCAGCCGTGGTCAATGGTACCAACTTGAGTTTTACTGTTAAGAACCAACAAAATGCATTTTGTTTTCACTCAAGACACCCTGCCATTCACTTTGTGGGGTCTTAATTAAATTAAGTGCAACTTTAGTTTTAACACGGTTATTTTAGATAACTCAACAAAAGACCAGTTCATGTCTCTCAATTCAAGAAAATGTGCAACAGGGAAATAATTAAAAAAGACAATGTGGTTCTCAAAGTCACAAGATGACAGCATTACAAGAAAATAAAGCGATCATCCAAACTCAGGATGTACTCTGTGGATTTATGTTATCGCTGAATGAAGATAGTTTTGTCCTCAAAGCTCGATTCTTTTGAGATGAGCAATCAAGTGAACCCGTGTCTCCTCCTGTGTGGAGCTGCAGAGACGAAATTACAACCGTAATAAACTATAAGACGGCTTTTAACGGTCTGCTGTTCAGGTAACTAACAAAATCCCCAAATCTCAATTTCTTAAAGGTAAAAAAAATTATGTGGATAAAGTAATTCATTCTTATTGATTTTCCCCCACTTATATCAATATTTCTCAAATATATGAGGATGCAGAGGACGGAGTGAGATGGAGGAGGACTGGCTGTGCTGACCCCTGAAGAGGGAAAAGCCAAAAGATTTATATTCATAGAAAACTGTAAAACACGTTCCCATTTGAATCTTCAGACTTTAAATCTATATCCACCAAAACTTCTCACTTGAAGAGGCAACTTTCACAACACTATAAAGGTTTTCGCAAGTGCTTCTCTATGAAATGTTTTAAAATGTTCGAAACATTTTTATTTAGCTTAGCTGACTTTTTTTATATATCACCGATTGTCTTATTATGATTTATAGGCTCCTTGAGTTTTTAGCTATTTTCTACACTGCATTTTCTTATCTGTATTGTTTACTGCTAATAAATAGATGAACTAAATTATATTTTGTGATTAGAGCGTTTCACCTGCATTAATCATCACTGTCATCATCTGTGGTGTTTCACTGGAAATGACCAAGAACTTGCCACATACTGTACCTCTCACATCATCGTTTGAAGGTGAACCAGTGGGTCTATAGTTCTGATTGCGCCTGATAGGTTCGGGGTTTCACTCACCCATCCCTCAAAGGTCTCCCCGGTGTTGGAGCTTTTGATCAGGTCTCCGAACTGGATGGTGCAGTTGGCCACGAAGTCGTCGTATCCAATCGGAGTGTCGTGGAAAACAGCCAGCTCGATCTGCTTCCCTTCGTGCACGTTCAGGCTGAACTCCTCGTTGTACGTGGGCATGTTGGTTTTCTGCTTGGTGTGCGTCTGGCCCACTTTCAAGTCGTCCACCTTCACCACAATGTACGGGTCCAGCACCTGGGGAGCCTTGTTGAAGATGACGGTGTGGCGGGTGGACAAGGTTGTCGGTTTGAGGTCCAGCGCCTCGCCGATCCGCAGCTTCAGATATCCATTAAAGCGCATTCTGAGGCAGCCCGCGTGCGCAAAAGTGAGGAAAAAAAATATGTAAAATGTTTAAAAATACATATAAATAAAGCGTTCACGCCCTCTTAGTTATAGGAGCAAACAGTGCTCGCGTTGTTAAAACCATCGTGACATGACTGCTGCTCTCCTCTCTGCAGACGCCGAGTCTCGAACCTGTTCCACCAACTTTCTGTAAATAGGAAGAATCATGCTGAGCTCGAGTTCCGCATTATTCTGTCACAGAACACACAAACTCAGGCTGACGGCTCTGTCACATGGTGCAAAATGTAGTTCTTACTCCGAGACAGGAAGGTAGAACTACACTAACCGTCATGCATCGCTCTGACAGCTGAAAGGTGCGCTGGACGCTCACCTGTCAGCTGGTGTTCAGGGAGCGCGCCCCCCCTGCTGGTCAATACTGCGAAGTGCAGCATTTTCCTTCCATCCATCCATCCATTGTTGCAGCAACAGTTCTGAAAAAAAGTTTAATGCTGATTATAGTTTTAGTACCTCTTTGTTAACATCTTTATGTTTGATTTATTGTGCTCCTGAAACAACTATGTTCCACATTTTGTGTTACAATGAATATATAAATATATATTTTTTAATTATATCGCTTCTTTTAAGGCAATTTAATTAACATCATATTTAGATGAATAAAAGATCCAATGAACGATACATAATTTCTTCTTAGACATGAATTTTCACTAAAATTTAAATATGTAAATACTTAGTTATTTCTCAAAACAAAATCAAATAAAGTTAAAAAAAATGTATTTTTTATGAAAAGTTTTTTATGAACAAAATTAAAAGAAAAAGTACTACTGTACAGTATATACAGGTGCTGGTCATAAAATTAGAATATCATGAAAAAGTTGATTTATTTCAGTAATTACATTCAAAAAGTAAAACTTGTATATTATATTCATTCTTTACACACAGACTGATATATGTTTATTTATTTTAATGTTGATGATTATAACTGACAACTAATGAAAACCACAAATTCAGTATCAGAAAATTAGAATATTGTGAAAAGGTTCAATACTGAAGACACCTGGTGCCACACTCTAATCAGCTAATTAACTCAAAACACCTGCAAAGGCCTTTAAATGGTCTCAGTCTAGTTCTGTAGACTACACAATCATGGGAAAGACTGCTGACTTGACAGATGTCCAAAAGATGACCATTGACACCTTGCACAAGGAGAGCAAGACACAGAAGGTCATTGCTAAAGAGGCTGGCTGTTCACAGAGCTCTGTGTCCAAGCACATTAATAGAGAGGCGAAGGGAAGATGTGGTATAAAAAACTGTACAAGCAATAGGGATAACCACACCCTGGAGAGGATGGTGAAACAAAACTAATTCCAAAATGTGGGAGAGATTCACAAAGAGTGGACTGCAGCTGGAGTCGGTGCTTCAAGAACCACCACGCTCAGATGTATGCAAGACTGTATGCAAGACATGAGTTCAGCTGTCACATTCCTTGTGTCAAGCCACTCTTGAACAAGCGACAGTGTCAGAAGCGTCTCGCCTGGACTAAAGACAAAAAGGACTGGACTGCTGCTGAGTGGTCCAAAGTCATGTTCTCTGATTAAAGTAAATTTTGCATTTCCTTTGGAAATCAAGGTCCCAGAGTCTGGAGGAAGAGAGGAGACACAGAATCCACGTTGCTTGAGGTCCAGAGTCAAGTTTCCACAGTCAGTGATGGTTTGGGGTGCCATGTCATCTACTGGTGTTGGTCCACTGTGTTTTCTGAGGTCCAAGGTCAACACATCTGTCTACCAGGAAGTTTTAGAGACTTCATGCTTCCTGCTGCTGACCAACTTGATGGAGATGCAGATTTAATTTTTCAACAGGACTTGGCACCTGCACACAGTGACAAAGCTACCAGTACCTGGTTTAAGGACCATGGTATCCCTGCTCTTAACTGGCCAGCAAACTCACCTGATCTTAACCCCATAGAAAATCTATGGAGTATTGTGAAGAGGAAGATGTGATACACCAGACCCAACAATTCAGAAGAGCTGAAGGCCACTATCAGAACAACCTGGGCTCTCATAACACCTGAGCAGTGACACAGACATGATCCACTCCATGCCACGCTGCATTGCTGCAGTAATCCAGACAAAAGGAGCAACAACTAAGTACTGATGCTGTACATGCTCATACTTTTCATGTTCATACTTTTCATGTTCATACTTTTCAGTTGGCCAACATTTCTAAAAATCTTTTTTTTTTATTGGTCTTAATGTTCTAATTTTCTGAGATACTGAATTTGGGGTTTTAATCATCAACTTTAAAAGAAATAAACATTTAAAATATATCAGTCTGTGTGTAATGAATGAATTAATATAATATACAAGTTTCACTTTTTGAATGGAATTACTGAAATAAATAAACATTTTTATGATATTCTAAAAGCACCTGTAAATATTCTTCCTCAATCATTAACATTCATTTTGCTCTTCACCCACCAGGTGTTAGTAAAGAGGCGTTTTAGATTCACTGAATAAAACCAGTCGTTTCACATGGTTTTAATAAAACAATCAAATTAAACTTGCTACAAATGAAACACTGCGTTCTTTTTAATAGGTCTGAATAATTAAATGTTAAATTTTTTCCACCGTCATACACACATGATTGTAATAATCCAACAATATGTTGCCAGTTGAGAAAGCATAAAATCTCACAAATGTGAGAAAATACTGCCCGTGTTGTTTCATGGTTATTAATTTTCTTAAAGGGACAAATGAACTGCTCTGATCAGATCTAGTAACTAAAACAAAGACCTTCAGATCTAGTAACATCATATGTCAGGATTCCAGGCTGCATTTTTTAAAGGAAAATAAATCTAAGCTAAAAGTAAAGCCATTTAAATCCCTCCTTTCTCTCCCCTGCTGTGAAGACTTTCTCTTTCTTCCTCTAAAAGCCACTCGCTCTCCTCCTCTCCCTCTGAGGGAGCGAGGCCCGTTCCATCCATAAATGCCACGATCAAAGTCTTCACTTTATTGGTGTTAGACTTGACCTCTGACCCCTCTCTGGCAAATGTCAGCACTCCACATCCCTCCGCTCCAGCTGGTATAAATAAAAAGCCGAGGTCCCACTTCTTGCACATCCCTCGGATCCAGACCGTCTTGTAAACAACCTCTCAGACGTGACCTTGCTCAGAGGAGAGGCCCGTGACGAGAAGGCAGGCAGACTGTGGATCGCATCGGTGCAGGCGAGTGAATGCACGACTCACGGCATTCAGCAGCTAGGATTTCAGTTCCAGTGGGTCAGACTGGAAGAAAACACTTGAAACTGCAGATGACCCAAACCAGTAGGATCCAAACATGTTAGTTTATGTTCATAAACACTGTTTATATTGTTTCTTACTTGAGGCTCCAGAGTCAAGGTGACTGAGTGGGATTTGTGATTGTATATCATATAAGAAAGGTCAGAGGTCACGGATTCTGATTCAGCCTTTCCAGCAGAGGGCAGGAGAAGACTGCTGAATTCACCACCTTCCACCCTTCTCTGAAAAAGCTTCCCATTTCTACCTTCACGCTCTCTTTTGCTTCTTCTGTGAGCAGCAGCAACTCTTTGGTGCCTCCTCTACATTCAAGGTCGATTGTTTTACAGTGACTTGCTGTCATGGTCCAAATCTGACTTTATGGAGGTCTGCAGCAGCAGAAGGTATATAAAAAAAAGACTTTTGAGGACATTCTGAAGAGTAAAACGCAACAACAAAACACAAAATCGTCAAAAAGTAATCAGTGAATATATATTTACGAGTGACTGGAGTCAAGCTAGTTCAAGAAGGCTGCAACATCTAATGAGATTAAAATAAAAATGGCTGTAATTCAGTCCATTGTGAACACATTAGGCCAAAATCTTATGTGGTAGTAGCTGAGAGTGATTCAAAACACATACTCTGATGGTGACAGCTCACATTGTTGCATGACTGCACATTTCTCACAAAAACTGTCCCTGATTTCTCAACAGAAGATGATGTTAGTTTAAAACTTTGGCATAAAAGATGGCGGGTGATGTGCATGCCTTTAGTCTATGAGACGTTTGTTTTTTTTTTGTTTTTTTTTAATGTAGATGTGTTTTGTTTGGTTTAATTGAAAAAAAAAAGTCTTTGCATGAGTTTCAATTTTCTAAATACTTTAAGTTTTATATAGAAGCACATAAAGTTTTGTAAAGTTAGATGTGGAGCTGTAATGGGGCTTTGTTGTGTATTTTGTGTACTGCAGTGAAATATTATTATCCATTTACTTTTCTTGCTGTTTGAGACATATTCATGGCTGTTTCTTGTATTCTTTCTTCTGTGTGTGAAGATTAGTTTAATGTTGCTTTGTTCTGTTAAACAGAATTGCTTTCGACTCCTCTGTGTTTCAACTAAATAATCGCTCGGACACGTGTGAGCATTAAATCCACATTGCACATCAGAACGCGTCTCTTTTGCACAAGTTGTCCGTTTGAGTTCGCAGCTGATTTCTGTCTGCGTACAACCTAATTTAAGCCACTTGTAGGGTTGTCACATCATTTTCACCATCCAGGGTCTAGTTTATGTTTGTAACCCAGAACAGCTTGGTCCTCTGCTCAGATCCCCCCTATGGCCCCCCCCCCCCCCTCCTATATCTGCAGCAAATGAAGCGTAGCATTGATGCCAAACAGGGTCCACCAAGCAGGACACAACTGAGATATGCTAAAGCTTATCTTTTTTGACTTCGGTGAGAAAATAATTATTTCACCTCCAACTTCACCTCCTGCACTGACAAAACTCAGTTACACCCATCAGTCATTGGGTCCAAACCCCCCCACCCACCCACTAAGGTTTGGCCACAACACCCCAGCTTCCCCTCAGGTAAGGCTGAACACATATGTGTGGAAAAAAGTCCATAAATCACACATCTGGTAATGAACAGGCGTTATTCACAACATGGTGTTTACTGCCTCACCATGGGAGAACGAGGGTGAAAAAGTAAAGAATGGGGGGGGGGGGGGGGGGAGTATGAAGAGAAAGTGTTGGTTTCTAATCTATTAGACTTCCATTTCCTCTTCTTCATCAGCTATCTGAACAAAAGAAGACCCTGCTCGAACTGGAGGATGTTCTTCACGAGGAAAAGTGAAAACTGGAGGAATGCAGCTGTGCGAGTGGTCAAGACCGCTCTGGATGGAGGAGCAGCGGGACGAGGGCGACTGAGGCTGGAGGAGGGAGGGGAGGGGGGGGTCGGTTCTATCACAGCCCCTCCTGGGTAATTGGCTCCAGATGTGAGGCAGCGTGGCCCCTGCGCCAGAAAGGCGTCAGGGCCGCATTAAGAGCTCAGCTCCGGGCTGATGGGATCCCACTGACACAACCCCCACCCCCACACACACCCAGCATGAGATACTGGATCCTACAGTGCTACCTCAAGAACCACTCCGCCCCCAACGTAAAAACAGTTTGACCCTGTACACAAAAAACACAACACAGTGATTAATAAATCTGTGAAACAACACACTGAAAGTGCTTCAGCAGCAGCTGATAACATGTAGTTTTATCATTTTAAAACAGTACACTGAATATGCTCGTGTTGATCCCAGTTGTCAAAAGTTTTTACCGTATTGTTCGGACTACAAGGCGCACTTAAAATCCTTTAATTTTCTCAGAAATCGACAGTGAGCCTTATAATCCGGTGTGCCTTGTGTATTCATTCTGGTTAAACTCAGACACTGAAGATGAAGAAGTTGATGGATTTGTGGAAAAGGAAAGAACTGATAAATGAGTGTATAGTTTTATACTTCATGTGTTACAACCAGTGGTGTAGTCTACGTTTTTGTAGTGGGAATACTGCGGTAAAGTTAGTTTTACGTTGGACACAGCTCCAACGTAAAACTAACTTTACCGCGGTCGATCCGTATACTGTGCTTAGAAACCAAAGTACACCGGTTAGTACAATGTTATCATTAATTTATTTTGATTTTTAAGCATACTGAACATTTCCAAAATTTTCTGATGCTTATATTTGAATAAATGAACAAACTTTGTATAATAGTTGGCTTTGTATTAAAAACGTTACAGAATTCATAAAAGAGTATCAAAGCAAAACATGTCCAAGTATTAAGTAGTAAGTACAGTAGTATTAATTATACAATAACTTGTAGGATAAGTGAATGTAAAAAACAGGTGCTGCATACCAATAGATTGTTACGGAAGAGTTTAACGCATCAATGACAGAATAATATGCATCATTGGGCACTTTTAAGTGGGTATACTGAAATTCTTAAGCTTTTCTCATGGGTTTACTCCGTATACCCGTGTATCACGTAGACTACACCACAGGTTACAACTGAACAATGTTGAAAGTGAATGAGTTGAATAAAATTTGACTTCTCTGACTATTTTGATTCGCTTAATGCGCCTTATGTACGAAAACGGACCTGTTCATTGATATTGTGCCTTATAATCCAAAAAACACGGTACAAGGGGAAACAGAAGATCCTGCTTGTTTGGAGGAATTGTGCTCAAATGTGGAGTCTGCTTGGCTGAAGAGGAGAAGGAGCATCCAGATTGTTTAAAGATCGATGCTGAACGATATCTGTCCAGATTTGTTTCAAGAAAAGTGGAGCACGTCAAGGAAAATCATAACCATTTTTATTCAAATTAAAAGTGAAATAAAGCAAACTCTGGTTTTAAGCACACTTTAGATATCTGTTAGGCTGATTATGTAAATCAAAACTCTACAAAGCTTCTTTAAAACCTAATAATTATTTTGTGCGTAAACTGAAATCGTCTGAAACGGACGCATAAAAACAGCTGAGGGAAAGCACCTCCTCCATGTTTCCTTCTTGCTTCCTCAGCTGACAGTTTTCAACATTAAACTGGCCACACGTATTAGTTCCTCCAACACGATTTAATACAGAGTTTAAATCTACAGTGACGACTGGCGTTTGAAAAAGAGTCCTCAGAGCGAGGAATGCTGTTCCTGTGACACAGAGAGCATGTTTACTGATGGAGCGTGGAAATGGATTCAAAGCAGAAAAGCAGCGTGGAGTGAAGGAGAACGAACACGGCAGAGAGGGGGAAAGAGTGGGGGGAATGAAACGAGAGAGCACTTCATCAGGGATGACACTCGCATTTGGTGAGTCGCAGCTCCCACCATGACCAACGAGGGAAACCACTCATCTCTGCCAGCCAGCACCAGAAAGACCCTGGAAGCAGCTCTCGGTCAGGAATGCCTGTTGGACGAGATGCTGCGAATAAACGGAAAGCAGATGTGTAAGCTTGACGTCTACAGACTGACGCTTGGACACAAACAGGAAGAGGAAATGGAATACTGCTTTGGCTGAAAGGTGAAGGCGGATGATAATGTTTGCGTCTGTTAAAGCTCTGGCATGAAAGATGGCGGGAGATAGACTTAAGGAATGTTGTGAGTTTCTACCTTTCTTGTCCTCATAAAAGACAAGGCCAGTAAACTCTGATTATGTCAAAGGTCAAAGGTCATCTACTGGGATCAGATCAGAAGTGGCTGCTATCCTGATTTCCAAACAACAGATAACATTTGTAAAGCGTCTTACAATACGGCTGCCAACAGGGCCTTAATCCGAGCCCACCATCGTTCCTGCATCATTCCATCCTTCAGCCCCGGGAGACGGTGTTGTCATACTGCTGGACACGGGCCCGGGGTGTGAGCGAGTTTAACCAAACAAAAACACTCCCACCCTGGGCTGAGGACCGAGGCCCCATCAGGCCTCCGTGAAAACAGCTCTGAGCTGTGGTAGCGTGCACGTTTCGAACACGCCAACAGAGAAAGAGAGGTTTTATAGTGTGGGAGTGATGCTATACAGTCACTAGGGGGTAATCTTGTGCTACTAATGACTTCGCAGCACAAGTTCACATTCAAGAAAGCCAAGAGAAAAATATTTGAAAACAGTTTATTATTCCCTTCCTGTGCGATTTTTGCATTCATTATTTTCTCCAAGAGGATCAATAAAATATGTTTCTGCTCTTCTAGTTCAGCTGATCGTATATCAAAAATTGATAATACTATAGTGTGCTATGACTTCTTGTAGCTTTTAAAAATATTTAACTTTATTTAAAATATAATTCCTTATATAAATACATCTTGTCCTTCAAAAGCAATGTTCGTTTACAAATCTACGTCAGCATTTTGGTTTTATTTTGGTCTTCTTGTGCTACTTTTTGCTACCATTCTGCTCATTTTAGCTACTGTTTTGCTAATTCTAGCTATTGTCTGCTCATTTTAACTATTGTTTTGCTAATTTTTGCTACTGTTTTGCTATATTTAGCTACTGTTTTGCTAATTCTAGCAATTGTTTGCTCATTTTAACTATTGTTTTGCTAATTTTTGCTACTGTTTTGCTATATTTAGCTACTGTTTTGCTCATTTTAGCTATTGTTTTGCTCATTTTAGCTATTTAAAAATGTTAAATCTGGTCCTCTGGACATTCAAAAAAACAAAACAAAGCAAATCAACAAAAAAATGTAGAAACGTTTTTTTGTTGATTTGCTTTGTTTTGTTTTTTTGAATGTCCAGAGGA